TATAAATATTTTTTTTTGCAAGGATTAGTGTCGTTAGTCTTTGGAATTTCACAAATTTATATTTACAAAAATTGAAATCAGATTTAGTAATTTAATTATAAAAGAAGAAGGATAAAATTTCAATTGAATTATAAAAATATATTAGCGGGCCGGCCCTCCAGGCAAGAACGCACCAACTCAAATATTTTCAACTTAATCGATTCTACGATGCAAATTTGCTTCAAGCTCGAATGTTCAACAACAAGCATGGAAAGAATTAGGCCGTAATACTTCAAACATCTATACTTCTCATATGATTGTTGAAACTGTTTATTTTTTTAGCTTTTTTTGGCATTGGCTTTTGCTTATAAAATTGTTGGAGTTCTTTTCTGGATTGAGTTTTTTTGCTTACAAAAATTTTATTTTATTTTTGTTGCATGTTCTAGGTTGAGTTTTGCTATCTTACTCTAAATTTGACCCCTTAATTAATAACTGTATTTACCAATTTGAAATAAAAATTAAGATTATCCGTGTTTGATTTCCCTTTATTTTTGTCACGCAATTCTAATCGTAGTTGCTTCCTCTGTTGTTTGGATTAGTCTTAGTTTTGATTGATGGAAAAAACAAAAAAATGTGTCTGTTATCTAGATTCAGATGATTGGATGATGATATGCCTGAGGTGTTTGGTTGAGGAGAAATATTATGAATGATAGGGAAATGTTATGTATAGGGAAATGGGTGGGAAGTGAGATTGGTAAGAAAATGTAAGAAAAATTTGTTTGGTAGGAAAATATTTTACTGGGGAAATTAGATAAGTTTTGTAAAATCTATGTTTGGCTTTTGGTAAAATATAGATGCGAAAAAAATATGATATTACAAAAATATCCTTTTTTTTTTTAAATGACGAAACAGCCTTGCTGGCCTTTATGTTAAAAATATCCCAACGGTCATTTGCAAATCGTGTGTGTAGGCAACGTCCATATGTTAAAAAAAGGAAAAAGTCTGTCTTTGCAAGTGTCGAGTTTTTCCGGTGAGCAACCATCAGAAGCGGCACCACTGACCTTGTTCCAGACAGTCACAATGTTCGCATACAAAGAAGGCGGAGGTGAAAGAGAACACAATCAAGTCATCAATGGAACACACCCTGCAATCTCTAGCACACTTACAATTAAGATTGGAAGCAGCAGCAAACAAGGTGAAGAGTATTCTGATCTATACGAGTATTCTGATGACACTGCCGATACAAAGCTCAAATATGTGACATGTGTTCCAGTTCCTGAAGCAGCTCCTCCACGCATCTCATTCTCATTTCCAGTCCCTAGAATCTCCTTTGCAAAAGGTCCTGTTTCCCCTGCTTCCAATGCCAAACTCAGAAGCTGTGATGTTTACATTGGATTTCATGGAAAAAATCCCAACTTGGTGCGCTTCTGTAAGTGGCTTAAGTCTGAGCTTGAGCTTCAAGGGATTAATTTCTAGGGTACGCTTGTCTTTCAACAAATAACACAATATGACCAAAACATAGATAACTGCAAATACCTCCTCACCAGAGGGTTATTTTGGCTGGCTATCTGCCTTAAAAATCATGGAGAAACTGGTTGGCTAGGAAACGAATTTAGGTAGGTAAATCATGATGCTCTCTCAACCAAACATGGGCTTCCAATTTACCCACTTGTCATTTGTCTATCATTCTCCCCAGAATCCCTCAACCAAACAGCCCCTTTAGGTAAAAATATTGAGCTTCTTCTGGTATTGACTCTTGAGTGAGATTTTATTGAATGGACTAATGGAACATTGTTCTTCCAAGCATTTTTTATTTTTTTAACGAGTACATATCAAAAAGTAACTGAAGTTTGTACTGTGCGACATAATATTGTTATATTAACATTCAAATAATATGGACTATGGATCTTGTGCATGAACTATAAGAAGAGGGAGTGTGGAACGTTTATTGTATTCTGTACTCATTCCTTGTCCTGTTCGGCAAGACCAAATTACTAATGTTTTCACGGGATTTATATCTATCGTTTAACATGATCACAACAACTTTTCTACACACAACATTTTGTGGGATCCGCATGTTTTAAAGAAAAGAAAAGAAAAATTACGGCACGCAAAAAGAATCTCTATAACATAGCACAATCAATTTTCCTACAACATAACTTTTATAAAACCCTTTTTCCACTGTCTCAAAAAATCTAGATTATTCTGGCCATTGTTTTCATTTGTTAATGCCGAGGGATGCTTACCGTTGATTTTAGGAAAAAGGCACTGGAATTGTAATTTGTAAAGTTTTACTCAATTATTTTTTATTAGATCAAAGGCTTGGGGCGCGTTGCACTCTGGGAGCGTTACGCTTGTTTTGTATATTAATACATTATAAAAATTGTTTCAATATTATAGACATGGTTACATGTCATCTTTTAATATCACTTCTTATAATTAATTTTCATGATAACAACTTATTTTTAATTTATTTATTTGATTTTTGATTTCTTTATTTTTTTTTAATTTCCATCTTTTTTGTTTGAAATTTAGTTCTAAATAAATACTTTGATAAACAAAATTAAAAAAAGAAAATAATAATTGAATTTATTAATTGTTAAAAATACTATTATACTTTATTTAATTTTTTAAATTATAATCTTTAAATTCGTACAAAAATAATATAATAATTATTAAACATAATTAAATATATTTTAAATACTTTTAAGGGAAGACATTAAAATATGCATCAAACATTGTTCTTCCATAACACCTCACCCCGCTTTAGACATTAAAATACTTGTGGTTCTTATGGATATATATTTAAAGTTTTGGTTTTTATTGACCTTGATTAAGTGGAATTCAAATATTTACTTTAAAAAAAAAAACAAAACAAATCTCTAACTACTAAAAACATCCAACCTACGATTTAAATCTAAAAAAAGTTTAAATTTGATTCAAACTTTTGGTTCTTATGGATGAATATTTAAAGTTGCAAATTTTATTGATCTTGATTTAGTGGAATTCAAATATTTACTTTTTTTCAAAAAAAAAAAAAAAACAAATCTCTAACTACGAAAAACATCCCAACCTACGATTTAAATCTAAAAAAAGTTTATTGGATAAAATTTTCAAATTTTATTGACCTTGATTCACTGTAATTAAAAAAATTACTTTTTTTCAAAAAAAAAACAAATCTTCTTATATTCTAAAGGAATGTCATTCTTTGGCAAGTTTGCTGACGTGTCACTTTCTCCTTCACTTTCAGCTTTGTGTTCACACTACAAAATATTTAAAACCTTTTCTTCTTTGGTAAAAAAGAATAAAAAGAAAAATATTAAATAAAATTGAATTTGCAATTAAATTCAATTGAGAAAATATGTTAAGAATTGATGGTGGCAGACAACTCATTTAATATAATGTCATTCTACTTTTTGCATTAAAATTTTCAAATTAATAATATCTCACTGCTTTCTGAAATCTTGATTTTCAATTTCGAATTTTTAATTTTAAATTTGTATTTGAATTTTGAATTTTGATTTTGAATTTGAATCTGAATTTTAAAGGGTGGGAAAACATTTGAACAATTATTGGTGGCAGACAACTCATTTACTATCTCATTACTTTTTTTTGTAGACATTATCCCATTACTTCATTTTTTTTTGGTAAGCTATCCCAAGAAAGTAAGTCATCCCATTACTTTCTACATATTGTTAACCATATTAATGCTGCATAAAAAAATACTATTTTCTTACAAAAAATAATTAACATAAATATTTTAAATATATATATATATATATGTAAATCTAATCTAAAAATTATAAATTAAAAGATTAAAAATTATTTTTTCGAATAATATTTAAAATTAATAAAAAAAATTACATCTATCATTCTGTATAAAATAAAATATAAATATTTAATAACTATAAAAATGAATGACCATTCAGTGACCACTGATCATTCAACTCCTGCATCGTAAAAAGATGATTGCCATTAAGTATTTTACAGACTATTTTAATGTTTATCATTACTTTTTGCATAGAAAATTGTTAAGCATATTAATAATATTATTTATGATATCTATTGGGGGGGAAATATTTAATGTATATAATTCAAACTTTTTAAATTTGAATCTTGAACTTGATAGGTGGGAAAAGAGTATAAAGCAAAAACTGAAATTATAAAAAATTGGAATTTGATTAAACAGAGTATTCTAAGAGCCTATTTGGATCCTCTTATTTTTAAGCTAGAAGTTACTTATGAGTTTAAGCTAAAAAAGAGAGCTTAAAAGAAGAAGCTAAAAGCTGTTTGAAAATTACATAAAAAACTTAGCTTAAAAATTACTTAAAAGCACATATTTCAAGAAAATTATCTCTCTCTCCATCTTTATCACTCTTCATTTAAAAAAAAGCACACAATTCAAGAAAAATATATAAGAGCTTAAAAAAAACTCCTCCTAATAGCTTTTAATTTTCTGTTTTTTTCTTCATTATAAAAAGAAGAGCTTTTCATTATAAGAGTTTTTCTCAAAATCTGTTTGGCCTAACTTATGCTTATAAGTAGCTTCTAGCTTAAAAAAGAGAGGATCCAAACAGGCACTAATTACGTTTTTTCTAATGACCGTGTTTTTAATACACATATATATATATATATATACTTTTTAATTATGTTTTTGTTTAAATAATAAAATATTCGATTGTATTAAATGCAGTGCAATTCAAATTATCAAATATACACAATGAAAATAAATATATTTCAATTTTAAATTTTAATAAAAAATAAAAAATGACATTTTATCGTTCTGTAAATAATAAATAATAAAATTTAATAGCTGCAAAAAAAGTTTTAATTTAATATATGACTCGTCCGGGATGTTTAATATGGGGACTTTTTAATCCTGTGAACTTTTTAGCCCTAGTCCGCGTGGCTAGAGCCTAACGAGCCAGGATGACCCGTTTAAATTGTTTTATTTATTAGAGCTCTAGTTATTGCAACAGTAGCGGTCCGTTAAACATTTCCAGTTTTTTTTTTTTCTTCTTATATAAATATATTTTTTTCTTATATAAACATCTCATTTGTGGGTTTAGGGTTTTGCTTTTGCGTCGGTGAAGGAGACATGAATTTTTGGGGTAAGAAAGTTGTTTATGCATTTCTGTGTGGAACTAACTACTATTCATTGTTTCATTTATTGATTCATTGATTGATTCATTTTCAGGTGTTGAAGTAAAACCAGGAAAGCCTTTTACTCTTGAACACAATGACTTGAAAGGATGCCTTCGTATTTCAAGGGTAATAGTGTGTGTAGTGTTGTTCTCTTGATTTTATTGCAATTATATTATTACTGATAATAGTTTATGCAAAAAAATAATTGTAGGCCACTTTGGGATTGGGCACTGCAACAGCGATAAGCACACTGCAGTGTAGTTTTGGAAATAAGAGCCCTATGTGTGTGTTGTCTGAATCCTGGAACTACTGACTCATTGAAATTTAAACTGAAACTCAGGGGAGTTGGACAAGTTATTTTCTCAGTTATTGGAGTATTCATCTTTCTGGTTACTATTACACTAGTGGCCGCCATAACAACATCAACGATGTTTCGTATCCTTATTTTTGTTCTCGCTCTTTTTCCTGTTTTTTTACACCTTTTTTTTTTTGTTAGGGTATACTTTTAACGCATAGAGGGAGAGCCTTTTAAGGTTGATTTTTTTTGTGATTATTCAGTGTAGGAAAGAATCTCTTGCTAAAATTAAAATAGTAAGACTGTGTATAATCAACCGTGATCCCTATTGACCTCATAGGGGGGCGTTTGTGCATTGTGGTTTACTTTTTTTATAATTGAAACACAAAATGTATTCAAGAGAAGGGCGAGTCTTGGAGTAGTGGAAATGTTACTCCTTTTTTACCAGAAGGGTAAAGCTATCTACAATTGACTCTCACCCGTACTTTTGCAAAGTCGGGAAGTCTTTTGTGCAGTGGGGTTTCCCTTTAAAATTCATTCAGAAGAATGGGAACTTGATTTCCATTTTTCAGGAAAAATTTGATTAGGAACATCACATAAACTTATTCTTTAGTAGAATTCAAATCTTTGCTTGGATTTCCTGTTTGGATTTGCGTCCTCCTTTTTTATGTATTAGATTTGATAGCGACATTGTGTGTCTATCAAAAGATCAAATGTAAGTGTAAATCCAATTTTTTCCCCTTAATTTCTAATCACAGTGACAGTGATCCAGAGGTTTTCCCATCATCTCCAAATTCTAGTGAAGGCACGTTCAAATATTTATGTTAATCTCTCAATGAAGGGAACAATTTTTTCTTGATTTTGTCTCCATTTTAATAAACCATGTCTTTCTTCGAGTGAATAATCCAAGTTAGCCGGCTTGCGGCATTCATTTTAAAAAAAACTAATTACATGATGTTATATTAATTCTAACTAAGAGTTTATTGTCCATACCACTTTACTATGAGTCTTTCATCTAGTGAATAACCAATTTAGTAGGTTGAGGCTGGCAGAATCCTCTATTTGAAAAACTAATTACATGATCGTTTGAAAAGCATTTCGATAAATGGCTAGCTGATTTCAGTACATATATTCATTGATTAGAAAACCAATTTCTTCTTTCCTCAATTTTGAATCCTTTCTTCAAACATCTTTTTATTTTCATGAATGATAACCACAGTTAACATCAATTTCATCATCTTACATCTGGAAATTGATTTTTCAATTATTACACAAACGCATCTTTTCTTTAACAATTGTTTTTGACATGTATTATTGGTTTGTTTTGATTGTGATATGCGTCTATCTGATATGCGTCTATCTGTTGAGCAAAGTAGGGAGTAATAGTCAGGGCAATATGCGTCTATCTGTTGAGCAAAGTAGGGAGACAATGGAGGAGGATGGAAACAAGAGGGAAGATGCAAAAATTGGTGCAACAGGAATAAAGGTAGTTCTTTTAAATGATTTAAAATATCTTAGTGGCTACCTGTAAGAAGTTTTAACAAAAAGAATTGCATATTCGATTTGATTTAAATAAGTAGTCTTTGTTTGCAGGTCAGCATTTATTTGACTGAAAAGTTGAAGGAAAATGGAGTAATATTTGAGTCAAATGCTGACCAAGCTCCTCTCGAATTTCGCCTTGGTAACACCATTAACTAGAACCTTCTGTTACCTGGATATGACTTTGTGCTTACTTGTATTATTACCTTTTGCAGGCAAAGGAAAAGTTATTGAGGATTTGGATGTGAAAGTTAAAGTTAAGGAAATGAAGGAAAAGAGGAAAAGTCAGGGCAATGTGGAAGTTGATAAAAAACACACACGATGCCTCTGAAGAAAGGCAAACTTGCTTGAAGTCATATCGTCTGCATAATTGCAGCAACAACTTGCTATGATTTGGATTTACAAAAACTACTATGCTTTAAAATTTCGTTCTAGATTCACAGTAAAATTAGTATTAGGTTGCAAATAGATATGCTTCACAGTAAAATGTTGACAATACGACAAAATTTCCTGTTAGATTCTGAATGAAATATTTCTTAAATGAAAATATTCATCCGATTTAGCCTTTCTAGAATCACGCTTCACGGATGGTGCTCAATTCACCAAACAATTTTTTTCTTTGGGATAGACATCACATGGCCAGAATTGAGATGAAATAATCATTTTTAAATATCTAATTTGGTACATTAGCATCAACATATATTTTGACACGAATAAAGACAAAGTAAAAATGGAAAGTAATTGTTTACCGAAAAAACAAATGGAGAGTGAAAAACGAATTGGAGGCACCAAAAATGCATAATATCTTGGCAGATATAAAATATTAATTAATAAGCAACAAAAATAATTTGAAATTTGACATCTCATTATATATATATATATATGAGTTTGGTGTTTGTCATTTTAAATGACATAAGTTATGTTATTTTAAGAGAGAGATGAACACAAGAAATGAAAATTATGGGAGAGAAAATCGGTGATTTTTTTTAATTTAAATTTTAAATAAAAAATATTTTTTTGTGTCTATCTTTCTCTTAAAATGACATAACTTTATGTCATTTAAAATGACAAACACTTTTCCCTATATATATATATATATATGATCCTTTAATACCAGTGTCAAATTTTAAATTTGAGACCTCATCTGATAGCCGTTAGATAAAAAAAGATCAATTGTGCCACATGCGTACAAATTAGAGTTGTTGATCTAACGGCTCTCAGATGAGGTGTTAAATTTCAAAATGACCCATCTCCCCAAAGAATTTATAAACAAAGGATCCGAAATATATATATATATATATATATAGGGGAAGGATATTGTGACAACCAAGTTGTGTTACTACCAAGTTACTACCAATCAATCTTACCGTTAGATCGATTATATTGATCCAACGGTTATATTTATTTCCATCTTTGTATGGTCATGATTCTCCAAATTTAATACTTTATATTTATTTTCACCTTTGTATGGTTATGATTTCCCATATTTAATGCTTTCACTTTAAATATGGGGAATCATGACCATACAAAGATGGAAATAAATATAACCGTTGGATCAACATAATCGATCTAACGGTGAGATTGATTGGTAGTCACTTAGTAGTAACACAACTTGGTTGTCGCAATATCTTTCCCCATATTTATATAGGGATAGGATACTTTGACACCAATGAACGATTATCATTTTATATCGGTGTCAAACTTTAAATTTTGATATCAAATCTTAATCGTTTATTTCCGCCAATCAACGATTATCATTTATTGGGAATTAATATGTTTGATTCCCAATAAATGATAATCGTTGATTGACGATTTGATATCAAACGATTTCGTTCCAATATATATATATATATATATATATATATATATATATATATATATATATAGGCAATATGATTTGTAATGTGACTGCATATAAGCATTAGTATCTTCACCTAAAAACTTCGTCGTTTTGGTTGGGATGAAGAAAGTTTACTTTTAAAATTAATTGTAGAAAATGAAAATATTATATTTATTTATACCTTTGTATGGTTATGATTCCCCATATTTAATATTTAATATTTATTTCCGTTTTTGTATGATTATAATTCTTCATATTTAACGCTTTTACACTATAAAATGACATAGTTTTATAGTATGACCGCGTGTCCTAAAATGTTGATCGCGTGTAATTTTTTTTTTCGAAAAACGTGTAAGTTTTTTTTTCAAAAAACGTGTCGTGCTTTCTTGTAACAACTGATATGGTGAGAGATCGCTGCCACCAAGGGGCATATTTTAATGTCTCCCCTGAAAAGTATTTAAAATATATTTAATTATGATTAATAATTATTATATTATTTTTGTACGAATTTAAAGATTATAATTTAAAAAATTAAACAAGTATAATAGTATTTTTAACAATTAATAAATTCAATTATTATTTTTATTTTTTTAATTTTGTTTATCAAATTATTTACATATTATAAATTTAGAATTAAATTTCAAACAAAAAATGAAAAAGATGGAAATTAAAAAAAAATTAAAGAAATCAAAACTCAATTAAATAAATTAAAAATAAGTTGTTATCATGACAATTAATTATAAGAAGTGATATTAAAAGATGACATGTAACCATGGCTATAATATTGAAACAATTTTTATAATGTATTAATATATAAAACAAGCTAACGCTCCCAGAGTGCAACGCGCGGCTTTTTCATTCTTTTGCCCTTTATTAATTAATTAATAACCATTTTACCCCTGATTTGAAACTATCTATCAATCTGCCTCTCTTTAATCGACTACCTTGCATTTTTAATCGACTAAATGGCCAAAACAGACAAAAAAATGGCTGTTAAATCTCCATATTTGACAACAAAAATAAGTCAGTATGATTTTAATCGATTAAATAGGGAGATTTAGTCGATTAAATCTCCCAACAACCATTTAGTCGATTAAACATGCAAAGTAGTCGATTAAAGAGGGACAGATTGATAGATAGTTTCGAATCAGGGGCAAAATGGTTATTAATTAATTAATGAGGGGCAAAATGGTCAAATAGCCTGCAACGCGCCCCAGCCTTTGATTTAATAAAAAATAATTGAGTAAAACTTTACAAATTACAATTCCAGTGCCTTTTTCCTTTGAGGGCGTTTGTTAGAGGAGAATTTTTTTTTCATTCAGGAATCTCGATTTTCATAAATATAATTTTTATATTCAGTTTACGATAATATCCGCAAATTAAAAATTTAGAAAAATTCAACTTCCTAAAAATCCTAAAAAATACTGGGTACCAAACACCATCTAAAATCAACGGTAAGCATCCCTCAGCATTAACAAATGAAAACAATGGCCAGAATAATCTAGATTTTTGGAGACAGTGGAAAAATTAGTAATTTGCTCTTGCCGAACAGGACAAGGAATGAGTACAGAATACAATAAACGTTCCACACTCCCTCTTCTTATAGTTCATGCACAAGATCCGTAGTTCATATTATTTGAATGTTAATATAACAATATTATGTCGCACAGTACAAACTTCAGTGACTTTTTGATATGTACTCGTTAAAAAAATAATAATAATCATTTTGCGAAATAGTTAACCATGCATACCATTTTATTGTTTGTACAATGCATATCATTGGGTTCCCTCCCATAGACCTCAGAATGGAGGAAAAAGAAGGAAAAGTATTAAATGGTAGCCCTCTTTCAAAATTCACCAATTAGGCAAATGTATATCATGCATGACAGATTCCTTTGACAATTAAAAGCAGCTAGAACACAACTTTCAAAAACCACACCCATTACAAGTTATAAACTCCTTAGGAAAAATAAACGAATAATATTTTTTCATTAGCTATACAACAAACTAGGAGTTGAGTGTGCGAAAAAGAAAATCACCGATGCCAATTGTAGAATCATCACACTTACCAACTTACAAAATACAAACAACTTCAACCCTCAATTTTTTTTTTTTATGTGATATGAAAATAATTCTTCAAAGAAGAATACCGAAGAGGTTTCTGGAGCACGCAACTACACTGGAATGACATCAATCTTTGATGTATCCTCACATCTCAAAACAATACCCTCAAGGCTAGCTGGAAATATACATTTAGCCCATTGGCATCCTGTAGTCAAAGGCTCAGGTGGAGGGACAATCATAAGCACATTGTCATTTCTTTGAACAACTCCCATTACGCTTACTGTGCTACCTTCTTTGATGTACCTACAAAAAAATCAATGGCAGTTTTATAAGAGTATCCTACCCACCCAGGTTTACCCCCAAGTTTCTAATATTGAAGCTTAAAGACTAAAGAGTTTTGCTTCATCATCATTAATACCATGTTGCATAACATAAATTATGTACTGGGCTACACTTGGTCCCATACCAGACATTTGGCACATGGAAGACAGTTAATGTTAATTGCTAGCAACAAGTTTAACCCCAAAAATAATAAAATGTTTCCGCTAGCAAAATGTCTATTTTCACACCTCCCCAACAACTGATGGATAGGGTTTATTTAACCTCAACAGTTTCCATTTGCACCAATGTATAACCTGGAAAATTTCAACTCTTCAGCAAGATAAGTACTTTACCCTTCTTTTAATCGCATTATCCGATCATCACTTGAAAGCTTTCTCTCTCCCAGCCATCGAAGAAACTCCGGGGACATGTCTTTATTGGCTGGGTTAACATCAATTACAATAGAATCATCAACATACGGAGTCACCCTGGCACCAAAGCCAGTTTTAACCAATGCTCTCAATCCAGACTGGAAATCAGAGATGTAAAAGTCCACCACATGCCTCTGCATTAAGTAAATGTAGGGTGAATATTAAAATACTCGATACAATAGATTAGACAGCAAAATCTCTAAATACACAAGTTGCATCTTGATACAGGCATGTCTGGTCCACACAATAAAACAGCTCAAAAGAAGGTAACCAGAACTTCTATTGATCATAGGTTAGGGAGCCAAAGAAGATAAGGGTGTATTGTAGGGAGAGCTATAGAAGATCTTCATCTCCACTATCACTTGCTGAGTCAGCAGCACATATTCACCATTTAGTTAGTAGGAGAAACGATTAAGATATGACTGATGTGGTGCAATGATGGGAAGCTTCTAGAGCTACAATTCTGTTGCATAAAAAGGGATCATGGAAAGACATTCATCATCTTTGGCACTGGGACTTAGGCATTTGGGAGAGACTAGGAGCTCTTGAATTCTCTTGGAATATCTTTTCCTTTTTCTTGTTATTTTACAGTTTTCTTCATATCTGTTGCTGAAATCTTGCTCTGTTTTACTGTATTGAGTTGTATTCCAGTTGAATCAACTATTATCAATATAATTTTCCATATCTTCTTCTTTTGTATCCTATAATTCTGGTTGGACCTTATCATCATATTTGAAACCAGACACATACAAAGTACTCGTATCACATCAGGCAGGAAGATATCCTTAGTAACAGAATGAGAAAACTCTCAAATAATGAATAGCAGATAAAAGCTAACAGAGCATGAACTCAAAGCCCCAACAAACTAATCAATCAAAAGAAAGAAAGAAAAAAACATTCAGTGAAAAGGTTAGATGGAAAATTAAGAGAAATAATAATTTCTTTTGACTTTCAATAGCTTGAAGATATGGCGCAGGAATCTGCTAGAAACCAAACTTCAGCACTCTATAAATTCTTCCTGGGAATAGTTTTATTACAATATATTTGAAGTAAATATAAAGCTATATTGAAGATTATAGATAGACATAAGGAGAGATTATAAGATTATGTCAACAGAATAGATTTAACTACAGGAAGGAAAAGATGAAAAATTGCTCGCATAAGCAAAGTAAGTTTAACCAGAATGAACAATATCTAATTCATCTCAATGACCAAGGTGTATAAAGAGTCCCCAAATGTAATATTTGATAAAACGGAAAACTGAAAAAGAGAAAATTTAACAGATTATTGCAGTTACCTCAGCTGCTCTGAGTCCCCATGTAAAACGGCAATGTTTTGGGTTGGCTGGTTTTGAATCCCACCCTCGATATTCGAACAAGCTTGTAGATGTATAGACGCATCTAGGAACTTTTTGAAAGGAGGACTCTAATGGAACATTACCGCAGGTTACCACCTTCAAAAGGAAGAGCAAATCATTGAAACACTTCTCTCATTTATGCATGTATACAAATACAACAACATAAACAACAGCCAGAATGGTACATTTCAGACAAGGGACACCCACCAACCATTCAAGTCACTGATATCCATTACATAAAAATCATTTATCCACCAATCAATAGATGAAAGATGAAATGAATCCGCAAAGCAAGGGTAGTTAGTTGTCTATGTGATTATGCTTTTCCCATGTCTGTATGCTTAATAGTATTATACATGTATATGTCAATATTAATTTACATACCCCAGAAACCTTCACGAATTGCCCATTCTTGGCAGTTCTAAGTTCAGCATCAGGATAACGAGAGATGAAACCAACAATGGCCGTCCTCCCACAACAACTATTCCAAGTGAATAAGGCAGCAACAGCACCAAAAATAACTACTACAACAATGAGGAGAATGGGATTGTGGACAGCTCCAAGAATAAAAGCACCAGCAATGAATCCCATAACAAAAATCAAAATCACAGACCACAATATTGGCTTTGGGAAGTTCCTCCCGAAGGAATATTCATCATCTAGGCTAAGAATGGTCATGGCTGGATTGTGGGCTACAGAGAAACTCTGTGATTTCATTGATCCTGTAGACTCTAATGGACCAGATACCTTCCTTGGAGCTCCAGATGAATTTAGTGGGCCAGACGTAATAAGACCAGTTTTAGGAAGAACAGGTGGAATTGGACCAGAGTTTTGGCGTGTAACTCCGCCAGATTGAGGGCCAGATGACTTCTTCATTGGTTCACCATGTTTATTCAGTGGACCGGAGTTGGTCTTCTTCCCTGCGACTGAAGCATGCATGCCTCCAGAAGATATGTTACCCGACGTGGTATAAACAGAACGAGCTGCTGTATTTGGCATGATAGGTCCAGAATGTGAAGCAGCACCTGCAAATGAACCAGTCCGTGAAGGAGCACTATTTAGCTGACCAGATTTTCTTGATTTAGAACCATCCATTGGGATATCAAACATTTTCCCCAATTCTCCTGATCTCTTGATGTCACCACCAGTGTAAGGCATGGCAACTGAGCTCATTGTTGGAGTTCTTTCTTTTGGCTGTTCAGGCCGACCTGATACATACAGGCCATTGCTGAGCTGATGAGATGGGAATCTGGAACCCATCAGGCTTCTTTAAAGCAGCCAAAAGGGGCAACTCAATATGAAACAATACCAGTGTGCTGAAGCAGTATTCAAAGTATCACTGCAACAAAGTGAAATTGAGAAGACAAATAAAGCAGAATTTCAGCCATAATTCCAGACTTTAATGGGCAGATATCTCTACATTCATCTAGAGAAAAAGCATACAAAGTATCCAAATCCGATTCCTTTTATTAATTGAAAAACTTATGAAGTAAAGTTATATTTATTTTTTTGGAGATATTCTCATCGGTTCATCGCTTCGCGACTAGTCCAATTCGAAGCGGGTCCCGAGATTAAGGCTTTAAAATTTAAACCCCTCCCAAAGACGGTACTGGGGATAATCAAACACATACTCCCACCCCCACCTGCTCAGTTCCCTGGGCGCCAATTGAGCTACCATCATTTCGTAGTAAAGTTATATTTGCCTTAGAAGAAAAGTGAGAATAACCACATTCATTTATAGAAATCAGATGAAAACTTAAAATAAAGGTAAGAGAATCACAATACCCCATTTTCTAGAACATAAGAACAGGATACTCAAACCCAATATAAATAATATTAAATTAAATAGATTGGCCAAAAAACCGGTAAATGTGAATATTATTTAAAGACGTGATTGGTGTAAAACATGAGGCACGTGGCAGATGCTTTATATTTTTTAAGGTAGAAACTCAAGTAACTAAATCAACGACAAAATCCCAAGAAGATACGAAGGGTACGAGACTACGAGTCAAGGGAATAGGAGAAACAT